TATTTCTATTTTATGTGTACCTGCATGCATGTAAATGTACTACATGTGTGCAGTGCCCTGAGGCCAGATGACTCCACCTCAAAAATGAATTTTGAAAAATAAACAAATACAACAGTGACCTGGGTATTCAATATTTGCAGAATAGCTTACTTGATAAAATATTAAGAACCTCTATATAAATACCAATATCTTGATATTAGCTGTCCTCTAGACATCCTGTAGAACATTCAGCCCATTTTTGTTCAAAAATTCTGACAGCACATATTGTGAACAATTCTCCTGGGAAATAACTTATAAACAAAGCTTTAGTAATGTGCTTTCACTTTTTACAGAAGTGGAGTAGTGGAGATATTGTATGATCCTGATGAAGATATTCAATGTGAAGAAATCTTCAGACAGTTTCCAGATTCTGTTGTGAATAAGAAAACTCCTCATGGAGTAAAACTTTGTGGAAATCGTTTGTCTGATGACATTCTTATTGGTCTTCCACCCCTAAATGTGCCTATCCCTGTGGAAACAGTACCCAAACCATATGAATATGAGATATATGAAGACAGTCTCTATAAATTTAGGGAATGTGGGAAAGGCTTCATTTATCCCGAATACTTTCTAAAGCATGAAGCTACTTACACTATAGAGAAACCCTACAAATGTCAGCAATGTGGAAAAGCCTTTTCTTCTTCAAGTAAGGTTCGAAGACATGAACGAACTCACACTGGTGAGAAGCCCTATATCTGTAACCATTGTGGGAAAGCCTTCCCTAGTCGTGGTTCCCTTCGACGCCACGATAGGATTCACAGTGGAGAGAAACCATTTGTGTGTAAGTATTGTGGGAAAGCTTTCACTGGTCAAAGCTCCCTTCCACGCCATGAAAGGATTCACAGTGGAGAAAAGCCCTACGTGTGTAAGTACTGTGGGAAATGTTTCATTTCTTCTAGTACCTGTCGGGTACATGAACGAACTCATACTGGAGAGAAATTGTATGTATGTAACCTGTGTAATAAAGCTGTCACTACTCGTACTTCCCTTCGAAATCACGAAAGAATTCACAGTGGTGAGAAACCTTATGTCTGTGAGCAATGTGGAAAAGGTTTCATCTCTTCTGGTACCTTTCGAATACATGAGCGAATTCACACTGGAGAGAAGCCCTATAAATGTAAGGAATGTGGCAAAGCCTTCACTATACAGAGTTCCCTTCAACGCCATGAAAGGATTCACACAAGAGAAAAACCCTATGACTGTAAGCAGTGTGGGAAAGCCTTTAGTGGTTACAGTTCCCTTCGACGCCATGAAAGGATTCACAGTGGAGAGAAGCCCTATGCATGTAAGCTGTGTGGGAAAGCCTTTCCTGCTTTGGGTGATTGCCAAAGACATGAACAAATTCACACTGGTGAGAAACCCTACATATGTAAGAAGTGTGGGAAAGCCTTCACTCGTTGTGGTTCCCTTAAGATACACGAAAAGAATCACACTAGAGAGAATTGTTAAGCATCGAATGTGGAAAGGCTTCCTTGTTACATGACATTTCTCTTAAAAACATGACTGTCAAGGGAATAGAACTAGTATCAATATAAAGTTTGTGAGTATGCCTCTAGTTGTCTTGGTTAAATTAACAATCATAAAAGAATAAATTAGGAAAAGAATCCTTCTAATGAAGAGATGTGCACAAGTCTTCAGTTGGACCATATCTAAGAATACACTCATTATAAAAACATGTAAATATACAGAAACATAACAAAGTTGTTGATTGTAACAAATAGTTTCAAAAATCTGTGAAAATTCCTCAGGTGGTATAATACAGTCATTATCCATTTTGAAAAGCTCAATGCAAAAGTAGACTATTCCAGAAATTACATAACCTGAAGGAAATGTTCTAAAAATTATAAATATATTATACTTCTTAGTTGTTTGTTATTAAAATAGATCTCTGGACTGTTTTTTACTTTTAACTCTTGTAAATAAATGGTGGCATGGCATAATTTTCTAACGTTTGTTTAAGCAATGAGATATAAGTAATATCTTTTAAATACATTTTCTCTACATTCAAATTGGAGCATGTTGTATCCATATATAAGTCGAAATGTTTTCAAATATGCTAGAAGCCTTAATTTTTAGGCACTTTAAAAATAATTGTGTTAATAGGCTGTTGAAAATGAGTTTTTGTTTATTGATGAGATTTCTCTACTAGGTTCATGTAGCAAATAAGATTGTATCTTTTGTATTTATAGTACATATTTCATTAAGATACCTTTCACATTGTGGTGACCCAAACCCCTAAAGAAATAGCTTAAACGAAAGAAGTAATTTGGGCTCAGTTTCAGAGGTCTTAATCCATGATGATAGGCAGGTAGGGCACAATGGAGTAGAGCAATTCACATCATGGTGAACACAAAAGAGTTTAGTCTGCTCTACAGTAAGAAAGAAGTTCATGATTATTCCTGTGGATATATGCTCTAGTGATATATGTCCTTCAACCAAGCCCCACCTCCTACATTTCACCATCTCCCAACAGTATCACCTTATTAGGTTGGTGCAAAATAATTGTGGCATTGTTGAAATTTGCTGTTTGATATCAGAGTGCATTCTTTACATATATATTTTTTTGTTATTTTATGTGTATGAGTGTATTGCGTGCATGTATGTGAGTGCACCCATGCCGTGCAATGCCGCAGAGATCAGAAGAGGGCTTCAGATTCCCCTGGAACTGGAGTTAAGGACGATTTGTAGCCACCATGTGGGTGCTGGGAATCGAACCCGGGTTCTCTGCAAGAGCAGTCAGTGCTCTTAGCCTCTGAGCCATCTTTCCAGCTCCCAGAGTGCATTCTTAGTAGATGTGGTTATGTTTATACATTATTTTAGTGTGCATTTTTTTCTTTATTACTTTTTTTGCTAATAACTTATTACTTGTTGCTTTTACTGTAGAAATGATGTTAGACAAAAAGCAAATTTGAGTCTGAGGTGGCTAATTTTGATTGTCAACTTGACACACCTGAGAAGAGGAGATCTCAGTTGAAGAATATCCTCCATCAGGTAGGCCTGTGGGCATGTCTGTGAGAGACTGTCTCGATGCTAACTGAGGTAAGAGGGCCCAGCCCACTGTGAGTGATACCATCCATTGGCAGGTAGGCCTGGGGTGTATAAGAAACGTAGCTGAGTAAGACCCTGGGAGTGGCCAGTAAGCAACATTTCTCTAAGTTTTCTGCTTCAAGCTCCTGATTTCAGTCCCTATCCTGGCTTCCCTCAATCCTGAATTGTCACCTGAAAGTGTAAGCTAAATAAACTCTTTCCTCTACATGATGCTTTTGGCTATGATGTTTATCATAGCAATAGAAAAGTAACCAGGACAGAGTGATTTTCTTACTGGAGTTCAAAATGTGTCATAATCCAACAGACACAATTCATACTGTCAGTTGGCCTTTGGCCTAGAAACTGCTAATAAATATGCAGTGGTGGTTCAAGAACTTTGTAAAGAAAATGAGAGCCTTGAAATGAGGAGCATAGAGGCTGGATTTCAGAAGTTGACAGTGACCATTTGAGAAACTATTGAAGATAATCCATTTGGAACCACATGAGAAGTTTCCAGGAACCTCAACATCAACTACTTAATGCATCTAAAGCAACTTAGAAAGGCAAAACAGCTCAGTAAGTGGGTGCCTCATGAGCTGACTGAAAAATTTTTAAGTTTTTGTTTTGGACTGTCATCCTCTTATTCTCCATAACAACAGCAAACCATTTCTTGATCAGATTGTGACATGTAATGAAAATGAATTTTGTGTGATAACTGTCACTGATCGCTCAGTGATTGGGCTCAGAAGAAGCTCCAAAGCACTTATACTGAAAGGAGGTCATAGGTGCTGTCTCAGTGGTCTGCTGCTAGTATGATCCACTGCAGCTTTGTGAATCCAGGTGAAACCATTACATCTAAGTATGCTCAGCAAATTGATGATATGCTCCCAAATTGTGACACCTGTAGCCAGCATTAGTCAACAGAAAAAGGCCCAGTTTCCTCTTAACCATACATTCCACAACCAGTGTTTCAAAATTTGAACAAATTGGACTATAAAATTTTGCCTCATCCGCCATGTTTACCTGAACTCTTACCAATTACCACTTCTTCACACATGTTGGAAATTATGTTTACAAGAAAAACTCTTTCACAACCTGCAGGATGCAGAAAATGCTTTCCAAGAGTTCATTGACTCCTGGAACATGGATTTTTATGCTGGAATACACTCACTTTTGTTGGCAAGAAGATGTTGATGATAATCGTTCCTATTTTGATTATTAAATATGTGTTTGAGTGTATTTATTATATAATGATTTAAAATCCACAGTCTGGACCCACAATAACTTGTCTGACAAACTAATATTAGAGTTATTCATTAGGTCAGATCCCTCTTAATCTGATCTTTTCTAGAAATACAGACATAATCAAAAGTGTGTTTTACTGAATTTGTATGCTTTCTCTTTTCAAGATTTATTATTATTATGTATGATATGGTATCCGTTTTTATGCTCATTAATGTGGACTACTGTGCTGCACCTGAGTTTTACTGGTCAGAATCATCAAAAAGTACACTGCATGTTGATACCCCAGTTTGAGATCACCTTTTGAAAACTGATGACTTTTTTTTAAAGCATGTGTATTTGTGCCTTTGTGAGTTTATGTTTATGTATAGTTTTTACAATCTCAGTTTTCTCATAATACACAGCGGTGTTTGCATTATTTTTCTTGGCACTATATTCATAGAATCAGGTACTTGGATTATTTATGCTTAACATGATGACACATTAAGAATATTTGAAAATGACTAAAGTGCTTATTTAAGAAGTAACCAGACATTGACAGCAAGTGAGGCTCATCTCCGTTTCTTCCTAAGGTTCTACCCCAAAAATCTACCTAAATATACTATCCTTGTATGTGCTTAAGAGGAAATGTTATAATAACTAAGGGAAAATGGATTTATATATTTTATTTATTTATGCACCTTTTAACAGAGAAGGATGATCACTGACTCATGATGACTCTAGTTTTGACTTTTTCATTTTCTGTAGTCATGAAACAAAAATACTGATCAGAAAATGTCATCAAGGGTCTGGACACATAGCTCACTGGCTTAAAAGCACTTGCTACTCTTTCAGAGGAACAAGGTTCAATTCCCAGCACCCACACTATGTGGCTTACAACTGCTTGAAGATCCAGCTCCAGGGGATTGAACTCATTCTGACCTCTTCAAGCATTGCATTCACTCACCCACATGTATACACAAAAATAAAAATTTAAAACTTTAAAACCTCAAGATTATCTATTTAGCAGATGGAAATAATGCTTTTAAGGAAAGTAAATGAAGGTAAATGAAAATGGATATAGGTTGTGTGTCTCTTCCCCATGGAGATTCAGAAAATGGATGGGTGAGGATGTTCTTTGTCTATATGATGCAGAGAATTTCTGGAAAATGATAGCTGTACCTTTGATTTCAGGTGCTTAAGTTTAGTAAGACTATAGCAAGCAAATGTACAAGAATCAATAGCAAGTAGCATACAGATAGAATCTGCAGATAAATAGCAAAACATTATTAAATGGAGCACTCATCCAGGAAAGACTGAAATAACATAATTAATAGAACAAAAAAGGGGTCAGAAAGTTTGTAAGAGCCAGAGGTCCAGGAGGAATCCTGAGAAACAGTGTCTTCTGGAAATGACAGAGCTATCGCTCTAAAGAATTCACAGTAGCTATGTTTGCCTGTAGAAAACCTGTACAATCAGCATTCCAGGATGGGCTGGGGAGAGGATCATGAGGCTCTACCCAAAGCTAATGAGCTATTGACAGTAGATGCCTGCTGGGGGATGGAGAGCAAGTTTTCTTTAGGGCTGTAGTCCTTTGTAGGCTGCCCATGTTCCACTGAATGGCCCTACACCCATGTACACATAGGCAGTACTAATTGGATTCATGGGTTATTTTTAAAAATGAGACATGAAGCTGGGAGGGGTATGGGGTGTATTAAAGGAGTTGGTAGGGGGAAGTGGAGGCTAACATGATCTACATCCATTGTATTCATGAATGAAATTGTCAAGGAATAAATTAAAATTTGATTTAAAAAATGATTATTGACTGGCAAGATGGCTAAGTAGATAACAAAGCTTGATGCCAAGCCTGACAACCTGGATTCAGTCTTCAGGACCTACATGATAGAAAGAGAGAACCAACTCCTTCAGGTTGTCCTTGACATCCCATTTGTGCAGTGGTATGTGTATGTCCCTTCAGTGTCACACAAATAATAAATAAATTCTAATTTATTAGATAAAGTAACAGCATTAAGTTGATGCTTACAACATCCAATGAAAAATGTTGTGCTCCTATTTTAGTACTATGGGCTAAACAGTACCCGAGTCTTAAGTTTTAAGATCCCTGGGGAGCTGTAGAAATGGCTCAGTAGTTAAGAACACTGAATGCTCTTGGCAAAGACCTGGATTCACTTCCTAGCCCCCACATGATGACTAACAACCATACGTAGCTCCAGTTCCAGAGACTCCTATGCTCTCTCTGGTCTCCACTGGCATTGCATGCACAAGGTGCACTTATATGCATGTAGACACAACACACGCAGGTATATAAAATTTTTTAAAAAGAAATTCTAAAAAGAACATCTATAGGAATAATTTACCTTCTAGATGTGCTCAAGGATATAATTTTTCAATACCCTTAACTATGTGTTGTTTTTCTTTCTCCCTTTCACAAAGGTAGGGAGGGTAGTTAGGTCAGGATCAACCTGCCGCAGGAGAAGGAGTTTGTGGAAACACTAAAAACAGATGTGTTAATGTCTGGGACAAGAAAGCACTCTTCTATTCTAGAGTCTGCTTTCAACAAGCTTAAGCAGCACGTGACAATCCACTAATATAACGTACATTACAATCTCCATTGATCACTCTTATTTCCATATCCAGTATCTCAAGCCTGTGCCAGCCAGCAGGTATTTGTTTCTAGATATAGACAGTGCTGATCAATGCACACTGGTCCTATCTGACCATCATGAATAAATGCATAATGTGTTACTTTTGATATGCTTAATTTTTTTGAGGTTTCATACCATTTATTGTAAAGCACAAAACAGGCATTTTTAAAGTGAAAGTATACATTGAAAAAATACATTTCTGTTACAAAGCATTGACCACATAATAGTTGCAAACGCATTTGCTGGAATGTGTACATCTACACTAAACGCTAAAAAAAAACAATTTTCTACACAGAAGTATTAACTTCCTATCAGTAGAGATAGATATTTTGTACATTTTCAAAACAAAAACAGGAAGAAAAAAACACTACTTTAAACCAAAACAAAATTAAGATCTTCATCAAGTCATCTGCATCCATACATTTAACAAAGGTCCCCCCCACACACACACACACAATGAAGCAAGTATTTTCCACTTATTATTATTGGCCCTGAGGTGATGGAGGATGCTGTGGCACTCCCTGGGGACTTGTCTGGGCATAGACAGCTACTTGCTGTCTAAAGTATTGAGGCCAGACTGCACTATAATCTGGCTGACCACCTACTGGGGCCCCAGTAGGAGCAGGAACTGCTTGACCCATTTTCTTGTAGTACTCTTCCCAAGCCTTTATATAATCAACCTGTTCAGCTGGACCTAGATTCTGATGATCTCCACAGTTACCTTGTGCACTGGTTTGAGTTGTAGTTGGTGCCCCCTTAGGAGCTGCAGGTGGGGCTGTGTTTGCGGTTGGTAATAGTGAGCATAATAAGCAGCCCAAGCTGCTGAATTTGGATCTGTCCCTGCTTTAGCTGGATCTGGAAGAGCCTGTTGTTGCCAATGTGGATATGCGTTTCTCCACCCCTGGGGAGCATAAGGGGCTGGAGGGCCAGGCTGGGCCAGGTGGTCCTGGAGCTGGTCTTCCCTTTTCAACAATCTGGTCCAATAACCTTTTTGCTGCTCTTTGTGGGAGGGAGGTCAGATTGCTCACAGCCCAGGTTAGCTTTGAATTTAGTATTTGAAGATGACCTTGAATTCCTGCTCCTTTTTCCTTTTCTATCCAAATGCTGGGATTACTGACTTGTGTCAACATGCCCAATTCTCACCATATTGGAAAGATTCTGGTGTTCCAGATAACATACAAGACCTTTCTGGAAGGCCACCATTATCAGGATCTATCTGTATTTTGAACCCAGATTCCTGCTGTATGCATCAGATCTGTTCACCTCCTCTGCCAATTATAAATCCAACCATTCCATCTGGAACTTTGTACTCTTCTGTGATCATAGACCTACTTAGCTGCTGATGCATCAGTGGTAGCTGTGTTACAAGAGAGTCATTTTGAGGAGCAACTTTCTTAGCATCGGGCTGATCTCCATCTTCTAAATATCTCTTTTGTCCTCCATAACCATAGTCATTTGAATTCAGTGATGTACCAGCATCACCCCCAATTTTTGCTGCAATCTGCTGCCCTCCCTACAGCACGTCCCTGAAAGCATTGTTCATGCCACCACCGCTGATGTGCTTAATTTTTTACTGTATGTGTTATATGAGGTCAGATATGGATATGATACTCTGGAACCTATGATTTCTCATTACTTTGGACCATAGGGGTCCTGAAGTAGAAGAGCAGCAACGTAGAGGAGAAAGCATGAATAAAAATGAATCATCATTGTGGATGGTAGTCAGCAATATGGAAAAGAAATTCACCAAGGAGTGTGGGGAAAGACTGTGGGCTGGTTCCACATCTTCACTATTGTGAATACTACAGCAATTATCTCTATGGTGTGCTAAGAAACTTTTGTGAGTGCTGTGATTACAGAGCAATACCATCCCTGACTTTATATGATTATCTTAATTGTATAGTTTTAGGCATATTTGTACTGATTTACATAGTGGGTTCACTCATTTGCATTCACACCAACAGTGTCTAAATGTTCCATTCTCTCCAACATCTGACCTTTGTTTTTTTTTAAATAAATTATTTACTGAGAATTTCATACATACATATAAGGTGTTTTGATGAAATCCATGCCCACTCCCTCCCCACTAACTCCTCCCATATCTCTCCATCACTTTTTTCTGATAACTTCATGTACTTTCTTCTTTGATATATTTATTTATTTTTATGGGGCCTTTGGTTACTCAAACATTCCCTCTCTGAAGAGGTAACCCTGAAATCCCTAAGGATTAGATACAATCTCCCAAATACTTTTGACATTTTTGGCCTTTGGAACAGAGTATGTTGCTAAGAGCCCAATGACATTTTGACTTTTAGCCTAGAAACTGGCTACTTTTCTTTGGGTTCTTTTACCCTACTTGCCTAGCCATTCCTACCTCCTATTCTTATCACACCATCATCTGAAGAGGTTACCCACATTGCCAATAGGGAATAGGGACACAGACTGCTCTGGTTTCTTCCATGCTGAACAGGGACCCAGGGCAAGGCAAATGGAGTACCCCTTCAGTGGGTCTATCTAAAAGACTCCCAAATTGCATAACTTATCTCTAAGGGGAAAAGAAAGTCCTTGAATCCAGAATAGGAGATGTGAAGGAGAAATAAAGGCAAGAATAAATAGCAATACAAATTCTTGACAGGAAACTGGAAAAAAGAACAGGGCAATTTTCAAATGTTCATATGAGAGCCCATTGGAATTTCTTGACAAGGGCTTCCAAAAGCATTCCTCTATTGGCTTCCTCCTCATTTTCCTTAGGTCTTCCAAGGCTGGACTCTAGACTGATGGATTCAGGATTTGCTTTCAAGTATTTTGATAGTTGGTAGAGTGGTTAGAATCAGTGTCAGTTCCCTCTCAAAGGCTTATAGATGGGGGGAGAAAACAAATTTATCCATCATTTTAGATCAATAGGTGGTCGTCTCCCTTAGCTACAAGTGGGCACTACAGTATTAGAGACCAAGATCTGAAGTCTTACAGCTGAGCAGCACTTTCTTGTTAGGAACAAAATCATCAATGAGAAATAATTGTCTAAATAACTTCTTATATAGACTTAAGCCTAATGTCTGGGAAGTGTAATCCCTTGAAGTCTTCAAGAAATATACTGATGACTTTACTCTTTTGTAATACTTTCCTTGTGGGTGTTTAACACCATACAGTTGGCCCAAATAAATCAATTTATTTTTACACTTAAGGTCATTTGAGGATCTGTTCCTCAGGGGTCACATGGGCTTGGAAGGAGCTCCTGGCTCCTTCTTTTACTGGTTCCATCTATGTAAACATAAGTCAAAGGCCCTGCTCAACCATGTCTGGCTTCACTTGGAAGCATGAATGAGATGCTTCTCTGAGTTGATCCTCTTTTTTGTAGACTGGACACTGGTTCAAATCCATCTTGTTGGAGTCTCTATGGCCTCTCTGAACAAGAGGACGGGTGTCTCACCACAGTTACAGAACATTTTGAGAAATGTTCCATAGTCCCCTGGAACTTAGTCAACCTTGGAGGGCAAGGGCCAAAAACTGTCCTTTAAGTTCCTCTGACCAGATTAGTATAGGCCTCAAACTATGGCTGTTAAGCATCCAGTAAGCTTAGTTCCACCAGTCTGGTACTTTTAATTATCATGTACTATATAGATAAGAGTTGGGTAAAAAAACAAATATTCTCAGATAAACTTTGACTAGATATATATTTTGTTCCTTAAACTAGTTGACTAAACTGATAGATAAAGTAGCCTATGGATGAATCTAGTTGATTGGGAGAAAGCACCAGAACACAGATAAAACTCCATTGGAATAGAGTTTATTAGCAAAGGAACACATGGGACAGATTCCCTTCCAGGCAGAGAAAATGTCTGTCTGGGTCGTGAGCTGGGGTCTTTTTTAAAGGGGGAGGCTTCTGCTTCCTGCAGAAGGTGGGAAGATGCATTTTTTTTTAATGTTGAGCGGGGGGGGGGGGGCGATGGGAGAGTGGGACTGTTAAAACCTGTCCTCTTTAGAGATCAAAGGGGAAGCCTGTTGTGTTGGCCAAACAGTGGAGAAACGTCTGCTGCTCTTGACTTCAAAGACCAGCGTGCTTATCAGCTCGGGTCCCTTTTCTCGGGAGATTGAGAAGTCCTTGAGACCCTGTTGGTGAGGGGGCAGGGCTATCTGAAACTTAACATAAACTATGACCATAGACATTTTAAAATTATGTGTGTATTGTTTTTGTCTCATCCTTTAAATATCATAACAAACCTAAACAGACCCTCATCACTTCCTTAGGCTTTCTCATTTTTTCTATTTTGGAAAATATATCCATTCCCATATCCTTTTAACATTTTTTCCATTCTCATTTTCTTTTCTTTAAAAATAATTATGAGACATGATAGCATTAACAAATAAATTGTCCATTTGTTGTGAGACTTCTTTTCCTGGGGATGCTAAGCAATGCCTGTTCCTTTTTAAGGTTCTAGTGTTAAGCCAATGTTTGATTAAAGTTTTACTGGGGACCAATGAATTTATTGAGCTTACTTACCTAAGTAACTGAAGGGTTGCTGAGCTCTGTGTATGACCTGAGGGTATGCACATTGGAAAGCCTTTACCCAGCATGGGTCATGCCTTCTCTTTCTAGCATTTCCCAGATTCTATACTTTAGCCCACCAAAAATCCAGGAGGCCATGTGTGATCAGCATCAAATTACATACAGTTGGCTGGGAAGAGTGGCTGGATACTCTGGTGAGGGTCCAATGACCCTGCTTGGCCCTCCTTTAATGAATGAGCACAACCATCAACCAGCCCAATTGTGACGATGTTTAGTGATCAAGCTCGGCTGATGATGTGATGATGGTAGTTATGTCATGCAAAAGGGATTGCTGTATAGCATCATCTTATTGAAAGGACCTGGAAATTAAAAGCGTTTGGTGCTAGGATCCACATATGAGGGAGAATATACATCGTTTGTTTGTTTTTCTGAATCTGTGTTACATCACTTAGTATAACAGTTTCTGGATCCATCCATTTACCTGCAAATTTCATGATTTCATCTTTCTTTACTGCTTAATAGAACTCCATTGTGTTAATATAACACATTTTTGTTAAACACCCGTAAGTTGAGGGGAACTTAGGTTGTTTCTATCTCTTAGCTATTGTGAAAAGAGCAACAAGAAACATGGTTGTACAAGTGTCTCTACAATAGGATGAGTCCTTTGGGTACATGCCAAGGAGTGGTATAACTGGGTCATATGGTAGGGTCATTTTTAGTTTTTTTAAGAGTTCTCCACACTGTTTTCCATAGAGGCTGCACGAGTTTGCAATCCCACCAGCAGGGAATGAGCGTTCGTCTTTCTCCACATCCTTGAAAGCATTTGATTTCATTCATTCTCTTGATCCTAGCCATGCTGATTGGGGTAAGGTGATACCTTAGGGTGGTTTTAATCTGCATTTCCCTAATTACTAACGATGTTGAACACTTTTTTAGATGTTTCTCAGCCATCTTTATTTCTTCCTTTGAGAACTCTCTGTTTAGATCTTTAGCCCATCTTTCCATTGGGCATTTGGTTTCTTGATTCTTTGTTTTTGAGTTCTGTATGTATTCTAGATGTTAAACCTCAGTCAGATGTGTGACTGGTGAAGATTTTTTCCCATTCTGTGGGTTTTTCCTTTACTCTTTTGATTGTTTCTTTTGCTGTACAGAAGCTTTTTAGTTTAATGAGGTCCCACATATTGATTGTTGACCTTAATTCCCGAGCAGATTCTGTCTGATTTAGAAAATCCTTTCCTACACCTATATCTTGTAAGTTACTGCCAATATTTTCTTCTAATAGTTTCAGGGTTTCCAATTTCACTTTGAGGTCTTTGATCCATTGGGAGTAACGTTTGTGCAAGGTGAAAGATAAGGATCTAGTTTCATTCTTCTACAGGTGGAGATCCAGTTTTGCTGCCATCATTTGTTGAAGATGCTCTATTTCCTCCATTGTGTGTTCTTGGTACCTTTGTCAAATATCAGGTGGCTGAAATTGCGTGTACTCAGGTTTGGATCTTCAATGATGTTCCATTGATCTATGTGTCTATTTTTGTGCTAGTACCCTGCTGTTTTTATGACTATAGCTTTGTAGTATACTTTGAGATCTGGTATCCCCCAGTGTTGCACTTTGTGGTCAGGGTTGCTTTAGATGTGGGGTCTTTTGTGCTTCCATACAAATTTAAGAATTTTTTTTTCTAATTCTGTGAAGTATATCATGGGGATTTTGATAGGGATTGCATTGAATCTATATATTGCTTTTGGTAGAATGGTCATTTTCACAATATTGATTCTTCCAATGCATGCTCATGGGCGGTCCTTCTATCTCCTGGTTGTCTTCCACAATCTCTTTCTTTAATGATTTGAAAATTTCATTGTTAATGATCTTTGGTGTCTTTGGTCAGATTTATTCCAAGATTTTTTTTTTTTTGGCAATAGAAGCTACTGATTTTTGTAGATTGATTTTATAACCTGCCACTATACTGAAAGTGTTGCTCAGTTCTAGAAGTTTTCTGGTGGAACTTTTGGGATCTCTTAGGTATAGTATCATATCGTCTGCAAAAAGTGATAGTTTGGAAGCTGGAGAGATGGCTCAGTGGTTAAGAACACTGGTTATTCTTGCAGAAGACCTGGGTTTGAGTCCCACCTAACAACTGTCTGTAACTCCATTTCCAGGGGATCCAACAGCTTCTTTTGTCCTCTGTGGGCATTGCACGACATGGGTGCACTTACCTACATGCAGGCAGTACACAAATACATATAAAATAAAAATAATAAGTAAAAAAATTTTAAGTGATAGTTTGACCTCTTCCTTCCCAATTAGTACTCCTTTAGTTTCTTTCTTTTGTCTTATTGCTCTAGCAAGAGTTTCAAGCACTATGTTGAAAAGGAGTGGAGATAGTGTACATCCTTGTCTGGTTCCTGATTTTAATGGAAATGCTTCCAGTTTTTCTCCATTTATAATGATGTTGGCTGTGGGTTTGTTGTATATAGTTTTAATTATGTTGAGGTGTGTTCCCTTCAGTCCAATTCTGTCTTGGACTTTGAACAT